GCTGATAAACCCCAGGAGATGGGGTGGTTTAGTTAGAGCAGAGGAAAAGGCATTATGTTGCAAGGTTGCTCTACCTTTGTGTGGCTAATGATGGCCAGGGAATAGACAGGCTCCTTGTGAGAGAGGAGTGGGAAAGGCTGTTGGGCACTACAGACAGTTCCCAGGGGTCTGAATTGCATGGAGCCAAGGAATGCTGAGAGGTGCTGGGCAGCAGGGATTGCATGTGGACTGCAGAGCGGCTCTGCCCGTGCCTGTGCCGTGCTGTAGTGACAAATATGTGAAGTCTGCATTCCTGTTTAAAATGTAAGACTGTTTCTTTCTCCTGAAGGTCGGTGATGCCACGGCAGAGGGTAAATCTCTTGGCATGCCCATTTCACTGGGATGAAGATTTGTCATTTGCCAAGGCAGAGGCTTTTCATAGCAGGGAGAGGGACGGGTGGGCAGAACTGAGCACCAGGCTAAGTTAGCTCTGAGTGACTTGGGCAGAGACTTGGTATGTGGGTTTAGATTACACCTAGATGAAATCTTAAAAGTACTTTTTGGATTTTGAATCCGTTTTCTTATGATATCATCGTTACCTGCCAGATGTGGAAGTGTTATGCTGAATCTGTTTAAATGTGCTATGCTGCAAGCCATAAGCTCTCTTCCTGGGTTCTTGGCAGAAGGATCCTGTTGGGATCTTGGTATTGATCCCCACATTCCTCCAATAAAGCTTTAAAACCCCAAACATTTGGAGCAGCTGTTTGCATCGTGATCAATCCCAGATTTGATTTTATCCAGCTGAAGTCATGTGGATTGCTGGTGTTTGTAAAGCTGTACCAGCATTGCTTCTTCTCTCCTGAAATTAGCATGTAGGTTTCATCTGGCCCAAGAATGTCCATTTTTCTGTCCCTTTTCTTGTGTGTTCCTTTTCTCCCAGATAATCATTCTACAAACCAGAGTTTAGGGACTTGTGCTTGTGGGCACACAGCTGTGAATGGAATTAAACTGAACAGATCCTGTATCAGGATGCATGACAGTTCAGACATCATAAGAATTTTATTTGTTTTTGACTGCACCTTATAAATACTTTAAGTTGGATTTGTCTTCTGTTGTTTGTTGTTGTTTGGTTTTAGTTATCACACAATTCTGAGTAGTTTGGTGTTACTTATTCCGATTTTCTCATGTATTTTTTCTAAGCACAGAACAGAATGTCTTTACAATACTCCAAAACTAGGTTCTGAAATTAGCCCTGCTTTCTCCTGTGCCTGTTTTTCTGTGCTACAGTGAAGTTCACAAAGCCCACATAGCAAATTCCTGCTTTTTCAGGACCCCCTGCAAAATTGAGCCCAGCATAAACTGCGTGTTAAGCACTCGCAAAGCTGAGGAGCGGGAGGACCCACTGCAGCGAGTGCAGCAGCAGCAGCAGGCTGCTCAGGCAAAGAAAGAGATGGTGATGTACTGCAAAGAGAAAGTTTATGCTGGAGTGGATGAATTCTCTTTTGAAGAGATCCGAGCTGAAATCTACAGGAAGAAAGCGAGAAAGAAAGACGAGGGTATGTTCCAAAGTGGGCTGGAGCAAGTAAGGCATTCCAGATGGAATCATAACATTTTATTTGCTTCTGTCTGTTATTGCAGCTGCTTCTCTTTTTCTACTGGAGTAGTTGTTTAACTGCTGTGAGGTACAGAGACAGTAACACATTCAACAGCTTTATGTGGAAGCTGTGGGACAGGGAAAGACCACCAGAAGTTTTGGCCCCTGCAGAATTTAGGCTGCAGCCACCAATTGTATGTGAAATAGGCATTGGGCCTTAGAGGTGTTCTTTCCTTAGATGAAATACAAGCCATAGAACGGAAGAAGGAAGAAATACAAAGGAAAATTGAGGAGCTGGAGCAGAAATTAAAGAAAAAAGAAGATAACAAGCAGCAACAACCACATGAACAGGTATTGTCCTCATTTAACTGCAAATAGCAGCAATTTTAAATAAAAGTACCCAAGAAAGCCAAAAGGAAGTGTTTCTGATATTCTTGTAACACATTTTGAAGTTCTTTTGAAAGGATTCTTCACTAGTGAAGTATATTCTTTCTCTTTCTCTTTCTCTTTCTCTCTCTCTCTCTTCCTTCTCTGTTTCCAAAACAATGCCTTCAGAGTAAGTACTTTAAATAATGAAACAGAGTTGTGATTTTGTAAGCTACCTAACTGCTTACATATGTCCTTAACAGTTGCAGGGTAACTAAAATCTCCTATGAAAGTATAAATATGGTTGCAAAGAGTAAATGATGCCTTTTAACTTCACTATGCAATAAAAGTGGACTTTACTTTCTTCATGCAGGTAAGATAAGTACAAATACAAGTAGCTAAAGGCAACCATTTTCTATCAGGGTTTTAATGGCTATGCAAAATTATCATCATGTTTTTGGAACCTTTTTGCCTGGCTTGTGATTCTACCACTGTAGAACTGAAATGTGGCTTTGTTACCACAGGCAGCAGAGGTAATGGGAGCTTCCACACCTTTGGGATTGCAAGGATTTACTTTTTCCAGCACAAAAGAATATGGGGAGAAACAGCCTCAGTCACAAAGGTAAAGGAGGGGTGTTTTAGCCAGCAGAGAGAACACTTGTGAGGCTATGTAAGCATGACTAGTAACATGGATCACTAGCAGCCTGTTTTCTCAGGTAGAATGGAATATAGCCTTGGCATCAGCCTGTAACCAGGATCTGTGCTCTTTCTTTGTTTGATTATTTGTCTGAGGGATCTTAACTTTTTGCAAGAAGCATTTGTCATCTTGGCTTAACTTTTTTACAGAGTTTACTTATGTTTTGTGAAGGTCTGTAGAATACAAACTTGTTTATTTTATCTTTTTCACAGTGAATTCCAGGTCTATGAAGATACTCAACTACATAAACCATCTTGTTCCGAGGGTACGTACTCAAGTTTTTTACCATGAACAGGAAGGTCTGGTTTAAAGGGAAGTGTTCCATGAATACCAAGAAGGCAGCAAAGTAAAACCCAAAGCTTAGGTGGATTAGAAGAATGACAGTGCGTTTGTTAGTAGTGCCTTTTACCTTATTGAGCAAAACATGGAGCATCTAAGAACTGTCACTATTTGAAAGGACTTTCAAGAAGAAGGGCATTTTTCTTTCAGTAGCTGGAAAGTTTTCTTCCATCTTTCATGTTTGCAGTCTTACTAACATTTCAGAAGAGTTTAATGCTATAATGAGATTAATAATTACCTTAAGTCCTTTTTCCTCAGAGGTTTTGCTAGGGGAATACATCCCAAAATTGCCTATTGTTGATTTTGGTAAGTTTTGTTGGGAAGGTCAAATCCTGAAGAATTTTACTTCTGATTGGAGTTGACTTTTGTTGCTGTTGACAGCAGTTATCCAGACTCCTGATGTATCCCCAGACAGCCACAGTGGAAATACATTTTTAAACTCTAAGGAGAAACACAGAAATGAGAGTCTTGCAGAAAAATGTACAAATTCTGAAGCATAGTCTTAAACACATAAAATGGTGGTAAAGGGGTGGTTAATTAACATGGCAAAACCAAACCTTTTAAATGGGTTTCTTTATATGCCAGCTCTGTAACTTGCTGTTAGGAGCAGTACTTCTAGAACTGCATATTAACTATTTTAACTAGTGTTGGATATGCTATTTTAGAAGAACTGTGGATATGATAGAGCCTCTTGGTTTTTCTTTACAGATGTAGGTCTGCTTCCCCCACCGGCTGCTGTTCCATTTTTCTCTATATTTGATGAATCCTCTACTTTGACAAATCAGAATATAAGGCAGAATTATTCAAGACCTGGATTTCAGAGGGAAGGAAAACAGAAACATCAAAACCCTTGCTATAGCAGCTGAAATAACTGTTTCTTGTAGGAGTGTGTGGGGATGTGTGTTTTGTTTTGTTTATATTGTATTTTTTAAATTTAATTACTCAGAGTCCTTGATAAAGAAATACTCTTCTCTTCTTTATCTTTGACCTAGAACTATTTAAGCTGCTCTATAAACTTGCTTCATTCTGGAGAGCTGTAGTATCTATTGCTTACTGCTGGTTCTACGGTAGAAATTGGTTGATTGGAATGATAATAGACTTAAACTCTTGAGAGGAATTTGTTGGAGGTGGGAAGCTGCTCTAACAAATATGTAGTGTTGGAAGGTGATGGAGTGGAAGAAAGGGTTGAGAAATGTTCATCTTTTAAAGAAAGAAAGAAAGAAAGAAAGAATGGTGATAAGATCTGCAGGCTTTCACTGTCTTTTCTGTTTTTTCCAGGACGAGCTGCATGGAATTGAACGTTTGAGTGAGGATGCGATTGTGAGCGGCTCCTACAAGAACAAGACCCTTTGTGCCAACCCAGAGGACACGTGTGACTTTAACAGGGCTGCCCACCTGGCCTCAACGCCCTTTCACGGGGTGGGAGCTCAGAGAGTCCCAGCTCCTGCTTTCTCTCAGGGTGAACTGAAGGAAGATAGTCCAGAATCCAGGAGTGCACCTCTGAGTCAGGAGACACCGGTGGGTGAAGAGGCCTACACTGAAGCTCTGAGTGTAAAAAAACTGAGGTAATGAACAGCCAGGGACCTTAAACCTCTTCTCCTGCATGTCTTTCATGTGGTTTTAGTGTTGCTGAGCAAGGAGTTTTCTGAAAAGACCAGAATATCGTGGAGAGAGCCATTTCTTTAGCTCAGGGTCCACTTTGCCTTGAGCCGATTGAAGAGGTAATAGCAAGCCCACTTGCCTTTTTGGATTACTGCTGTGGGACTAATTTACAAGGTTTTTTAACCAATAACTTGCAGAGAAATTAATAAATGCACAAGGTTTTTTAACCCAATAACTTGCAGAGAAATTAATAAATAATAAATGCTTTCTGTCATCAAACATGAAGAGCAGTGTCATCAGTTCCTTTTATACAATTGGCTCATGTACTTATTTTGACTATATAAAATGTTTTTAGTGTTTGTAGTTTAGTTTGTGGTTGAGTTGTTTTGCTGGCTCTTAGGATGTAAACATGTATACCACACTGAATGTGTTTTTTACTCGGGATGTTCCTTGCTCATTATAATTAGGAAGAAATATTTCCCACCCAACCCTTCACTGCTTTGAAAGCACTGAAATTTTGTAGCAAAGATTGTGATAAATATTCAGGATGTTTTCTGTTGTAGCAGTTAAATTTGGTGAAAGAGAAGATTAGTAAAATCATCTCTAGACTAAGATTCTGAGTATAATCAATTATCAAAAGTGAAATGAAGCTCTGACATTACTTCTGGCTTTCTGCTAGGGATGGGAAAGTATTTCTTCATGTTAATTAAATCTGGGCGTGCACTGTATCCTCTCCTAGTCCCCCGGTTGATGTTATCTACAAATTGTATCTTTGGTTAGTCTGAGTACTTGATGGCTTTATTTACAGCCCAATCATGGAAACCAGCCTGGAAGATGCTCACTCATCAGGTGCTTCTGTCTCAGGAGGTTCTCTGTCCTCTGTTACACAAACATCTGCTGTGAAATACCTGCAGATCAGTGAGAAACTGGAGCTGGCTCAGAGCTTGCCTGCTGAATTGGTTACTGGTTAGTATTAAACTGAACTTCACTCGCAACAAATAACTTGCACCTTCACTAAATGTGGGGATTTTTCTGTCCTTCCTGTATCCCACTCTGCTTTGTGTGTTACTGTGACTGGTGGCTCAACTTGTCTTCCTTGTCTGAAGCAGCAGCGAGGTGCAGTACAGGATGCTTGTCAGCATCCAAAGCATGTCAGTATTAAGGTGACAGGTAAGTTACCTAGGGTAGTAAAGCAGGCAGTCTGTAGGAGTAATGAGGTCAAATTCCAAAATTAAAAATTTGGACTGGTTGGCAGTAATAACTGCTAAGGTAGCTTTGTTTTGGTTTGTCTTTCTTTTCTTTCTTTCTTTTCTTTCTTTTCCTTGTCTTCCTTGTCTTCCTTTTCTTGTCATCATACTGTGTGTCTCCTGATGTGCTGATAAGCTACTACTTTGAAAAGAATGGATACAAATTTGGAGTTTCTTCCTGTCATCATACTGTGTGTCTCGATGTGCTGATAAGCTGCTACTTTGAAAAGAATGGATACAAATTTGGAGTCTAGTGCAAGTTGCATAATTTTGGTTTAAATCTGCATTTTAAGTATGCTGTAAACTGTTATGCTTCTTCACAGTATCATTATTATTCCTATTGATGGAAAGCAGTACTGATATTTAAATAGTCAATATCTTTGCTTATCTTTCTCCTAGTTAAAGGCATTTGTTTCTTTCTGTTCTAAATATTTAGATTACAGTTAGAACAGAAATGGTCACAAAAAGCCTTCAAAATCTGGCTTGTGGAATTAGATGTGTGTTGGATGATAGTGTTCAAGGTGTTTAACCTTTTTTAGCTACTTTGGTTGTGTTTTGTGGTTCTTTATTAGAATTCTGTATTTGAAATTTCAGTGTATCTACTCTGGAGAGTTATGTTCTCACATGCCTACAGACTATTTTATGATGAAGCATGCTTGGCACTTGGAATGAAAATACAATTAGAAGTCATGTCACAGAAATAGCTGGGATATTTTGGATGCATCTTTGTGTTGTTTTTATCATATGTACTAAACTTTAGAGCAAGATGAAAAATCTTTTTAGAAAAAAAGAAAGCATTTGTTCAGATGTGTTAATGGTCCTTTCTTAACTTTGGATCTTTCCAGTTGCTTTGTTTCTTGATTTCTTGACATCTCCTGTGAACTGCAGCTCTCACCCTGGATATAGTAATTCTTAATACTGTGTAAAGGACAAAAATTACTTCAGGTAGCTGTCCATTTATTCCTGCAAAACATGCCAGTAAATTTCCTAGGTTTGTGATGGCAAAAGCTTGGAACACATTGTAGCCTCCAGCCTACATTATTTCCTGGATCTTTCACAGCATTGCTTCCTGAGCAGTACTTACTGCAATGCTTTTCAAATAAGGGTGGGCATAACAGTAGATAATCTGCTTCCTACCTGTATGCTGTGGAAATATAAAATGTTCTCCCTCATTACAGCCATGGCATTTGGGAGAAGGCAGTAGAGCCATCTAGTTCTTGTGTTTTGTCTCAATGATCAAGCAGAGTAAACATTGAGGCTGTCTTGGTTTTTTACAGATCAACTCATCTATTGAATCATCTTATGTTCTGTTACAAAGGAAAATGAGTCCAGTCCTACAGGTGTCTTCCAGGAAATAAAAGACATCATATTCTTAACATTGCAGTGAGCAGCAGAGTTGGAGTCCAACTTTGTTTTCCTTTTCTTACATAAAACCTCTGCTGTAATCAAAGGACTAAATTTCCCTAAACCCCATAATTAAAAAACCCCAAACGAATCACTTGCTATGGGCATAGATTAAAAAAATGGATGTTGATTTGCAGACTGAGGTTGAATTCTGCTGTGGCTGAAATAATTCAGAGCTTTGTCTCTTGTGAAAGATACATTTTGCATGATGCTACAGTGGAATCCTTGAGACCTCATGATAAAAGTCTGTAAGGCATTTTAAAGACAAGGGTCACATTGACTTCCCAGAACTGTTGGAAAGAGATCAGTTGACTTGCTAAGAGGTGAATAGTAAATCAGAACGTGGATTGAAAGTTTCCAATATCCAGTTTACTTACACTGACAGATACAACCAAGTTGCAAAGAGTTAACACAGTTTCAGCTCATCTCTTCATGTTGTTTGTTTTCTTAGATGATGATGTGGCTCAGATCCTGTGGAGCCCTGAAGAGCGTAAAAAGCTTCTGAGTTCTGTGCTGTCCTCATTGGCCGCTTCTCCAGGTTTTCACTTGGAGGCTGGAGCTCTGCCTCACATGGAGGTTGAGAAAGACGTTGAGCTGGGTAGGTGTGCCAGAGCCTCTGCAGTGCAGAGTTTGTGTTCTAATGGGTTTGAATTAGGGTTCGTATCTACCCTCTTAGTTTTATGTGGCACAGATGGGGAATGACTTGGGAAGAGCTATTTTCTGGCTATTTACATACTTATGACAGTTTATGAATATAAACTTTCAACACAGGAAATGAGACTTACTGCATCAAAATGGAATATTGGAACAATGAAGAATACAAGATGTTTTTTGCCATTCCAACTGGTTGCATTTTCCAGTGGGATGCAAAGGGATTTGCAATAAAGGTAACACACATGATGGTTATTGTACAAGAAGTGTGAACTGGTAAAATCTCATCCATTAATATAAACTCTTAATTTCTGAATGAATTCATTTCCATGCAAGAAATTTGCTACTTTGAGTCCTCTTCCTGAGGATCTAGATTAAAAGTTTCTGACTGTGAAAAATGTCTTCCTTGATCAAGTGGGAGGGGGGGAAAAAAGAGGATAAGAAAAATATGAAAATGAGCAATTTACACTTTATTCCAAAAATAAATGTTCTTCTTATGTACCTTCTTGTAGGTGTATTCTCAGCCTGTGCCTTGGGATTTTTATATCACCCTTGAGTTACAGAAGCGTTTGAATTCTGACTTTGACCAGAGCTTCAGTGAGAATTACAGCTGTTACCTGTACCAGGATGGCTGTGCCATTTTGCACAAGTATACAAATTGCTTCACACTCAGGGTCAGTACAGACAAACCGAGGACAGTTGCAAGGTCCAAACTCCTGCTTGGGTGCCAGCAGTGAGTTTGGAGTGGTGTTATGCTCCTTGCTGAAGAGCTTCTCCTGTCTAATCCTGCAATACAGGTGCTCTGGTCTTTATCTGTGTACAAATCAGGGCTGTCTGTTAATGCCTCAGTTGGGTCTGGTTTCTCATTCATAAATCATGTGCTTCTCAGAGACAATCTTGAACCAATTTTTCACATATTCTGTCTTTGTGAGTCATAAAGACTGGAGCCAAGAACCACATATTATTCCACAGCAAGATTTGCATCTAAAGCTGTTGTTTAATTTGACCTCTTTCAATACATTCCAGTCAGCTACAGCAAGGTCACAGCAATTAATGTCTTGCTGAATGATTCTCACTTTAAGTCTTGTAAGTGCATTTTGAATTGTTGCATACAAATAGGACTGAAATTCAGTAGTGATTTCAGTCTTCAATTTCTCCCTCCTGGTCTTTTGTCCAATTCTGAACAATAATGTTTCCTAGCTTACATTTCTTGTAATTCTGTCTGGGCAAAATCTGATTATACTGAGTTTATGGTGGGACTGTTACCTCTGTACAGATGAATAATGAAACAAAAAGTGAGCTATAAATGTTTCACCTAATCTAAGGTAGAAGGGTACAGAGTTAGATGTTTATTCTCTTTTCAGGATATTCTCCATGACCGTAAGTTCATCACAAAGGAAATCATCTTGTTGGTTGTTCATGATCTTCTGCATGTGGTAGAGAAGCTGCACAAAGCTGAGATTGTCCATGGAGATCTGAGGCCAGAGGTGTTTTTTCTGGGAGACAGGTTTGTCTCTGCCTGTGAATATGGGAGGGTACAGAACAGTCATTTCAGCTACAGCCCCTGTGCTGCTGTAACGTCCACCCTTGAGCTGGTGTACTGAAGTACTGAGGCCTGAACAACGGGCCCTGAGCCAAAGCTGACCTCTAGATGAACCTTCCAACCAAATGATACATTTGTATCTACTCATTAATGAAGAATCATTAGCAATATGATGCATGTACTCACTCGTTGTCAAAACATGCATTCACGTTCCTGTATTTAGAAACCAGATAAGGCCACACCTGGGTTTTGGGGGTATAGGAGCAAAGGCAACTCCCTGGGCTGCTCCTTGAGCCTTGGGCAGGCTTTGGGAGGAACCCAGGAGGAGGCTGACCCCAGATGTTCCTGCACTGGAAGTGGTGTGAGCTTGTTTATTGCCCACTGTCCAAGCTGGGCCCTGTCCCAGCACAGTTGGAAGTCTCTTTGCCTGCGGGTGGATGCACCCGTAGGAATTCCCAGTCCTGGGAGGGGATCTCCAGTGCTTGGCTGTGACAGGGTCCCCTGTGTGGCTCTGGAGGGTGGTGGAGTCTTAGAGTGTAACTGGTGCTGTATCTTAATTGCTGTAGGCAGCCCTTGGTAGCAATGATGAGATGCATTGCTGAGCTTCTCCTTGTGTAATTCTTTATAGTCTTGCATTATAGAAAATGACACTATTCCTTAAGTTGGTTTCTGTGCCTCTTGTGCTGAACCTGCCCACTGGCAAAACAGGCCTGATTTTGCAGTCCAGCTTTTTTAGGCTCCAGTGTATTCTGATAAGAGTGAAACCACTTAATTTAGGAATAAGCCTTCCTGTAGAAATAGTATAGATTGACATTGTAAAACAAATTAGATCCTTGCAATTGATAAGATTGGGCAATTAGAATATCTGGCCAATATTGTTCAATTAGAGGAGCAGTTGATTATGTAATCTCCTCCATGGCTTCTGCCCTCCTCCCCTACCCTTATTATGGCAGTGATTACGTGGTGCAAAATCAAGTGTCCTTGGAGAATTTACAGGCAAGAGATAACAAAATTTTAGGAATGTGTTAATAAGTGTCTGTTCATTGTGGGAAGGAAAGCTGGAAAAGTACTGGAAGTTACACTGAGGCATTTAACAGTCTACAGAACTACAAATACATGAAGAATACATAAAAGCTAAAAACTTCAGGCATCAGTGGGAAGCCAGTAACCACAATATCTAATGAATCAGATATAATTCCATTACATGAATTCACTGGGGCTGTTCTTAGTTATCATTGATATGTTAAAAATAGCTATTAAATTTATTTTGAGCATACAGTCATCTAACATACATACTCCCAACATATTTTACTTATAATTTCTTTGTGATTATTTTATTAATAACTTATTTACATAATTATTTATAAGTTACATACCTGTACTATGCAAGTTCTAATATTTTCTTCACCTCCTGAAATGGGTTGTCTTGCACATTCTTTAGGGTGCTGTGTCCTCTTGGAAGTCACTGATCTAATAGTGGCTTGATGGACTTGGATACCTCCTGCTGAATTCCTCTGTGGCAAATACAAAACAAACAACTGCCAAAAAGTTAGGATAATGGTTTGGGGCTTTTTCAGATAGCAAAAGGACAAGTGCATAGTACAACTTACAAAATAAGCTCAGAGCATAGGAGTATGTAAGAAGAGCAGTAGTGAGAGCTGTGGTGTGTGGGTATTGTTGGCTTGGCAGTTGTCCTCCATGCCCTTCTGTTTTGTCTTCCCTCACCTGTAGACTAGGAGAAGTTTGTTGAAATATTATCAAGTTGAATTGCTTTTTCTATCAAGTATTCTGAGATTTAGATGGAGAGGGAGAAGTGCAAAACATTACACTGATTCCACATTTATTCTTGCCTTTTTGCTTTTATCTATTTTTTATGTTCTTTACATATCTATATTTGTAGCTCTGTAGCCTATTATTGCAGTTGTAGCTAGCATTTTACCTACTCTATTAGACAGAAAGACAAAATAAATTCCCCAGTGGCTCCAAGCCCTGGGGTCTCTGAAAGCCAAGGTTGAAAACCAGCTCTTCAAGACACATATTCATAAACAAAATTTAGTTCCTGTCTGAGGGCGATTGTTCAGAAATGGGTAGAACCAGGGGGAATTACCTCATCACCCCTGTCTCTAATTGAGGATTCTTGTCAGTTATGCTAATTTGCTAAACATATAAAAATTGTACCTGCTTTGTTATGTGTGCATCTTCAGCTCTTTTCATCCGGCGTGTCGTGCACCATAAGGATCCTTACAAAGGTAACCCCTTTTTATCACCTGTGTCTGGCTCATCATTTCAGGACCAGTGAAAAGACATCACACTATTCCCACAGCCCACAGACTTTGTTTCAGATAACTGTGACAAATACAAAAGTAGCATCATCCTCACCCCTTTATTGTTTCTTTGCTTACTGTGGAGACGGCACTATCATCCCTCAGCTCCCTGCTGTGAGCTCTTGCCATGCAGTGCAGCCCTAGCAGCAGTAGTTCTGACAGCAGCCATCAGAGGGGAGTATTGACATGGCTAAGACTCACCTTCACTGTGCTGTTAAATTTAATTCTAAAAGACAGAAAAAGTTTGTTGCATTGTCTTCTGCCTCATGTGCTTCCTCTGCTCAGGATCTGCGACCCGTTTTCCAATGAGGAGGTGCTAAATGCTCTGAAGGTGCTGGATTTCTCTCACAGTCTGGATTTGAGGCTACTGCCTCAAGTCAGCTTGCCCTATAACTTTCCCACAGCTCAGACTCCTCATGGACAACAGCTTCTGGCAGAAAGTTCTCTTCCTTATCAGGTGAGTCTGTATTTAATAGGACATCTTAATTTCTATGTTTTGTTTACAAAACCCCTTTTCTTAAAATAAAATTTACAAGTGCCATGGAAAGTTCTGATCAATAAACACTGAATACAGAGAATTTTGCATCTGATGGAATCTTTGGCATTAAGTGAAAGGATTAGCAGTGCTGTTCAGTGATTGTAACTACTATATTTACTTAGAAACCTATAATGAAAACAGAATTTTGCCTTTAGAAGTTTTCTTGTTTAACAGGTCTCTGAAAGATTCTGGTGTAAGGATGGTTCTGACTTAAATGTGTGAAAGCAGTTAGAGCAGAAAGTGATAGACATTGAACTTTGTGGTATTTGTTGTGATTACAGGTTGACTTGGTTGGCATTGCAGATATAGTCCATTTGCTGTTGTTTGGGGATCATATCCAGGTCTATCAGGAGAATTCCACCTGGAAAATCAGCCAAAACTTTTCAAAGTAAGTCCTTTTGCAGAGGGGGGCTGCTGGGAAAGAAGTGACATCAAATTTTATTTTCTTCATAGTGATACTGTCTTCAGAGCTTAGACTGTACTGTCTTCAGAGCTTGGATTGTACAACAACTTGGGGCTGTTTTTGCCAAAAAGTGTTAGTTTTGTGGGGCTGGAAATTGTGAAGCTGTTGGACTTCTTCACTGGTGGCCTCAGTGCTGCATAGGAGACAATTTTAAGTTGAATATGAATAAACGAGATGAGATGATTTTGCTTTTTGATCCTATCAGGTGAGGCACAGTCAGCACCTTACAGCTTGGAGAAGTTTGTAAGTGGGTGGGGGGTGAGGGGGGCAAAGATCACATGGGCTTGTTGCCTCAGAGATGGATTAGTTTGGCTTTCTGCTTTTTTTTTTTAATTCTACTAAGACACTGATGGCAGAGTGTAACAGCTGTAGAAACAGTACATCTGTACAGCAAAGAAAATAATTTAAAATTGTCATCTAAGATGCAAGTGTGCAAACAGCTGCTTTTTGGAAGCCGCTGTTGTTTATTTTGTTAGGCACATACTGCAGGTTTTCTTGCCTTGGCATGTCACAAGGATTTTCCAGAATTCTTCCAGCAGTTGCTGGACAGGTATCTGATTCAGGATCCTGCATCGCTGCTAGGACCATTGCTTTAAGAAAGCATACTACCAGCGTGGGAGTTGTCCAGTTCCCTAGCAACCTGTACTGCTTACATCTCCCAGTTTGTTGTGTTCAGCCTTTGGAAAAAATCCAATCTTCTTAAGCTGGGTACAGAGGAAAACATGTCCTTTTTTTTAAATTTTTTTTTTTTTTATTCTTCCTTTACTGGGTATATGTCTGGTTTTCTACTATGATATCCTTTGTTTAATTCTGCAAGAGATTAAATTGTGCTACTGCAGATGAAGCCACATAAAGCCTGAGTTGAGAAGGCTGAGACATGGTGTCAGGGACCAATCAGGATGTGGGTATGGGAAAAAGAGCAGTAACTGTGGATAACTGGAGCAGGAGGAATAGTAAGTCTGAGTTGGGAAGGATAGGGCTGTCTGTCTGTCAGTGAAGTTTGGAGAGGAGGAGTTTATTGGAAAGGAATTGTAGTCAAAGCTGTGGATTCTGGATTGAAAAAATTAGGATTTTGGGCTGAGGTAGAAATTGGAGGAGTCTTGAGGAGGTGGGAAAAAGAGCAGTAACTGTCTGGATAACTGGAGCAGGAGGAATAAGTAAGTCTGAGTTGGGAAGGATAGGGCTGTCTGTCTGTCAGTGAAGTTTGGAGAGGAGGAGTTTATTGGAAAGGAATTGTAGTCAAAGCTGTGGATTCTGGATTGAAAAAATTAGGATTTTGGGCTGAGGTAGAAATTGGAGGAGTCTTGAGGAGTGAGACCTGTGAAGGGCTACAGGATACAGAGCAGGAAGAAGATAAAGTCTGGGCACAAGTTCTGTAGAGCTGGAACCAGGCTGTAATGGCTTCTTGCTCACCTGCATGCATCAGTTCATAATTTGGGAGTTCAGAGTACAAATAAGGAATTTCTTTTCCATCCTGTCTTCTGCTTTCCTTCTGAAAGTGTTACAGACTTATCATTCATCATCTATACTTACTTGTCAATATCAATTATTCCAATAAATGTCTGCATAGGTGCTTTAGTTACACGTTGTACTGAAGTCTTATGTCTACAGTGTAAATGAGGTATTTCATTATGTGGCAATAAGGAATTTGCACTGAATCCATTTCCGTTCACACATGGATCTTTTAGTCTGTGTAGTTCTTTGCTCTAGGTAGTCTGAAGTTTTGAAGTAATCTGTGACAAGCAAATTCACTGCTGCAGGGAGCCTTCTTCCACCAGAAGAGGCTCCACAATTGAGTATTCCCTGGGAGAAGAGTCAGCTGATGCAGATCAATTTTGCTCTTCGTGTTGTGCATACAGCCACTCGTGCTGGTGACACTGTTGACACCTCTGAAGACACAGGATTCTTCTTCCTGTTGCTTTTAGTAATTATGCTTTTGTAAAAATGACATTCCTTCTGTCCTTTGTGTTCAAAGTTCTCCAAGTGATTTGGAAAGTGATTTTTTTTTTTATTTCTTTGAGGTTCATTTGAGTTTTGGGGTTTTTTTCAAGGATTTTATTGACAGAATAACTTTCCTAAAAACAGGGTTCTGAGAATTCAGATATTGACAACTAGAACTAAGGCTTCTTGCTAGAAGGCTGCCTGGTGTTAAATACAACCACCATGACCCTCTTATCTTAAGAAAGCTTTTTAAACAGGACTTAATTATTTTTATTAAACAAATGTAGATATAGCAGAATGACTCTAAGAGCTACCAATTTTACTACCAGTTCAGCAAATTACCGAAGCAGTGGGGAATTGCAGGGTAGAGCACAACATTTTTCTTCCAAGGTCAATGGCTTTCAATAAAAGAGAACCCACTTAAAAGGTGACAGAACAAATGGAAACCACTGAAACATTGTGGTAGAGGTTTAGGAGAAGGTAGAATGTAAATTGTGATCAAGCTGATTTTTTCATCTCCAAGTATAATGCTTACAGCCTGTTTTTCAGGGGAGAGCTTTTACCATTATTAAAGAATGGGTATGGTGATTTTTTTCTGTTTTCACTGCACTATTTTAGGAAACTTCATCTGTGCAGGTTTATGTGAGGCAGGGTATAGGAGCTGTGTTTGAATTTTTAGGACTATTTTTGTCACTCAGAACTCCTTACACCTCCTTAGCAACACTTCATCTCCTCTGCCACACCTTTTGCTCATCTAATCCCACAAAGAAAATGGACTCAAGTCTTGCATATTTTTTTCTTGGTTAGGTTCTGCATTGACTTAATTATTTTAGCAAATATAAGATTTAGCAGTGAAATAGTACAGGCTGGATTCATTTTGAGACTGGTTGTTGCTGTTTTGTGAGTCAGTCAGATAAAGCAGAGGCAGATAATTTGTTTCAAAGCCACTGTAACTCCTAGCTCGAGGGAGAAAAGTGCTTCAGTAGTCAGTAGCAGTGTGAGACAGAAGAACAAAGGGTTTGCTCTAATATCAGTTTTCTGAGACTTAAATGAGTCACTTAACCTTTTTATTCGTGTTGTGTGGGTACATCTGGGAGAGAGGGGATCTATTACTATTAATTGTCTCCAAAATATTATCTGTACAGAGCTCTGGCAGATGGAAGGTGGGGCAAAAAGGAAGCAACACTGGCTCTAAACCACCTTTTTTTTTTCTTTGCAGCTTTCCTTTAATAATGCCCTGTTAACTTAGCTTGCAAGTGGGTAAATAAGATTTACCTCTGCCTTTTATTCATGAAAGGAGTGTCCCGAGTTGTTCAGTTCAAAAATGTTCTTGATAATTCCTGTAAACTAAAACTGCCTTGGCTTACTGTGCATGGTGGTAGTGGTCAGTTATACTAGAAGAGGTAACTGTATAAACAGTTGGTTTAGACCTGTGTAGTTACTATCCAGAAACCTATTGGAGAATGGGGTCCCTACATTTAAAATGAACAACTTATTCCTAGTTTTCCTTTATATTTACTCAGGTGAGTGAAATTATTTTTTCAGGTATGGTTGTCCCTGGATGTTTAGTGCTGAATATAAATTGAGACCTTGACAGACACATTGTGTGTGTGTGTGTGTGTTTGTATCGTTCCACTGAACACTGCTCTGTTTGTTTTAGGACCCCTGACAGTGATTTCTGGAGTAAACTTTTTGAGAGAATTCTGAATGCAGATGGTAAGTCCACAGTACCTCTGCTGAGAGAGTTGAGAGAGGAAATCAGAGAAATGTTTGACAGCTCTTTCAAAGAACGACTTTTGTTGAGCTTAGCTGCTGTGGGAGAAACTTTCCTCCTGGTGAACATCCAGTGACTTCATAGGAAACAAACACATTTTGTGTTCTAGAGAAGAATTTGTTGTTGCTTTCTTATGTTTTCAAATGTAAAATGTAAACATGAGAGTGATTGGAGCCATTTCTGCAATACTTCACATGGGACTTGCTCAAGAATGTTTCTATTGCATGAGTGCATGGAAAACCTCCTGAGCCTCTACGTGAACCTTTCTGTGTCGGAGCAGTTTGTGAGAGAAAATTGTTTGTCTTAACTGCCACCTCCCCTTCTTGTACAGCTCCTTAAAAATTTAACACCTAACTTGCACCACACTCTGAAATGTCTTTGTCCTGCATTCAGTTGGTCCTTCAGTTGGTGTTTAATCAATAAAGTTGTGTTTTGGTAGCGAGTGTCATTTAACAATGCTATCAAATGGTTTCAAAAGACTTCATTTAGAATCCATGCAGGAGTGCTGCTGCGTGACTGGGAATGTTTTGTGGCTGCTGGATGCAAAAGCCCCTCCTTTGGTGGCAGCTTTCATAACCACATGGGATTTTCTGGACACTTCAATACAGCTTAAATGATTCTGTTTGGAATGTGCTCTCATAGAAAGTTGTCATAAGAAGAAGCAGATGAAGTCACAAGTGGAAAAGCTGCACACATAAACCTTTTTTCTTCTTAAGGCAAGAGTTTTGTTTACTTTTGCAAGGGCTGGAGTTCCTGGCTGGATTTGAGCATCCCTGAAATCTCAATTTGCCCTAAGTGATGCGTTGGCAGGCTTTTGTGAGAGGTTTTGTGGATAGTTATATGTGTTAACCTTTTATGTACTGCATTACTGAAACCAGTACAAAGGCTTCATTTTATTCAAGACAACAGAGTTTACCAGATCCAAACCCGAGGTGGTACTATGTACTTGAAGTGTAGGGAAACTTCTCAGACTTGGGATTTACTTCCTTGCAGCTTCTCCCACACAGGAAAGTGAGAGTAGATAACTGCATCATTAGCAATTTCTTCTCCCTAAGAAGCCAAATGGATTGTGTTTTTTCATTTAGTTGAATTCTCCACCCATGGTTCTCCCCCTTTGGGTTATCTCCAAATTTTGGGGTGGAACTCAGTTTTGTCTTTTCCACATTGCTTCAAGCCACCTTCTTTCCTGCTTTTTTTCTGCATTTTCCATCACTCTTCCTCTTACTTTGGTCTGTCTTCTTTTTGCTCTCATGGATTCCTAATTCCTAATTGCTCTCATGGATTCCGCCTTTTTTTACACTTTTTCTCTGTAAGGGTTATATATTCTTCTAATTCAGGAATAGGACCTAAATGCCCTGATAGACCATCTTTAATATTGAATGTAAACTGCTGCTGAAGAATTTATTTTGGTCCATTAATGCCTTAATTAATGCTTCTTGTAGTACATGGATTAGTCATCTATTGAGCTAACAGATAAACAATGCTCTATCTCTAACCAGAGTTTAGAACCAAGATCACTGCTAGAGCACCGAGGAGTCCAATGCATAGCTAACTTCTGCTAGCTCTAAAAAGATGCTGTGTTTGTTCTTTTATTTAACTGAATTTTGTTTTGCTTTTGCTGATCCTTTAACAGCCTTTTAGACAAAATCTGGGGAATCTCACTTGCTGTCCTCTCAATTGCAACTTTTCCAGTTTATATCCTGCAGCACTGAGCTGAGTACCAGGTAGATTAGGAAGAGAAGGCTCCTAACAAAGTATCAGTCATCCCAAGGACTTCTCAGACAAGGCGTGTTTACAGCCAGTAGAGAACAACTTCACTGTGTCTAATTTGCACAGAAAGCTTTTGAGAACAGGCTGAACAGAGATAAGAGCTCTCAGCAGAAGTTCAGTAGAGGAAATCTGTTCTTCAGGTCTTTAAAATATGTAAGTGAACCTATTTGTCTTTACTTAAATGAGATCTAAATCAAAGCTGCAATACTCCACTATTACTTTTTTGTTGACTGGCCTCTGTTTTCTTTCTAAACAAAAAGTGTGCTAATCCTTCTCTGTCTAATACAGCTGCCCATGATCAGTCACTCTTCATGTATGTCCCAGACAACACAAAACTGGCCCCAGTAGTGTAAAAACAGAAACAGCAATGGCACTATAAATTTCTCCATAATAAACACACACAAATAATGAAGAGGAGCAAGCAGGTTAACAAGAACAAGCAGTCATCTCTTCAGATGTTTGTTCCCACACTTCTGCTTCGATGAACTCTGAGTCTCTGCTGCACAGGTCAGTCTCTGCCTCCCCTATGCCATGAGCTGATTGCACCAACATGTAACAGGAACTCAGGGAGCTCTTTGGACATCCCTGCTGTCTGTTCAAGTAACTGCCTCCAACCTTACACAAGCTTTTCCTGAGCACCACTTCTGTGAATCATTGTGTAACACACAGGTGCCCTGTGACCTTGCAGGCTGGGATTGCCATAGACTTGTCATGAAGTAGGAGGCACATCAGCCTTGCCCACAGGATATTTGGAGACAAAAACTGGCTTAATATCTGGGAAAAGAGGCATTTATAAATCCTGACATGACAAAATGTTCCACACCAAGTAGAGGGTAAAATGAAATTGTGTGACAGCCAGATGTAGAAGTCCTAGTGAAGTTATTATTAAAAAATAGAGTGATGGAATCTGGGCTATGGGAAATTTTAATGCCTATTATATAAATAAAAGTGCACAAAGGAAAATAGGAATGTGATGGGTCATGGTTGTACCAAGTTGCTTGGGAACAAAACTTGACCAGAGATACAAGAGGGATGTCTGGAAGATATCTGTGGGCTTCAGCTGCTGTGGTTCAGAAACTGTGAAAGGATCAAATTATTAATGTCCACTCTGTTAAGCAAAAAGGTGTCTAAAAATATTTGCAGGAAATCACTGAGCAGCCAAAAATGCTAAAGGTAAAAAAATCAGGGCTGATTTAATGTGCTTGAGCTGTGGATGGGACAAACCCCACAGGTGTGAGCCATTTTCTGCTCCTTGAGCTCTGGAAGCTGCAGCTGGAGTTGATTCCACTGTTTCTAAGGGCTCATGAAGATCATTGCTTACACCTGTGAAACACAGGTGGTCCACGTTGCCTTCTTAGTGGCTCTGGAGTGGAGTGACCAATGATGTTGCAGAACCTAATTGCTTTTTAAGGTACACCTGCAAGCATTTACAAATCCTTGTGATCTCTGAAACTCACTTTATTTGCTTACTTCACTTCTGAAGAGATTATTGTAAGGAAGCTTGAGGAAAGGTGAGGAGTACTGATCGTCTGCTGGTCTTCAAAGGTATGTGATTTGTAGATTTAAAATCCTAACTCTGAGATAGTTGAGAAATCTCCTAAAATTTATCAGATAAGTGCACTCAGAATATATGTATCTGAGACTTGTGCAGCCTGGGGTTTGTATTCAATAAAAAAGATCAAGCAAACCTCAGAAGAGAATGATACACCTGATAACTGGTACATTATCAGAAGTGTAAGCCTGAGCTTGTGCTAGCAGATAAAATGATTTCACAGAATAAACTAGGATTTTTGGGTTTTCCAGAGTAAACTAGAAGGGACAGGCAATTCAGGAGAGCTACAAGGATGTTGTGAGGTTATGCAGGGACAAAATTAAAAGGGCCAAAGCTCAACTAAAACTTAATCTGGGTACTGCTGTGAGGGACAGTATAAAAATGTTTCTATAAATAAATGAGCAACAAAAAGGGCTGAGAAGAATCTGCATCCTTATGGGACTTGAAGGCACTCTTTAGTAAAAAGTAGTTGAGTCAGTGTCCCTGGCAGAATTTAAATAATATATAGAGGTGGCACTTGGGGATAACCTGGTTTAGTGGTGAACTTGGTGGTGCTGGGTGGGCTCTTGGAGATCTTTTCCAACCTTAATGATTCTATTATTTAAAGAAGACACATCACTCCTCCTGCATGAGTATCAGCAAGTAATTCTGCTGATATTTCTTTCTTCTGTTCTGCTGCTGCTTTCCCAAATAATATTCCAAAATGCCTTTGGGCTAAAGTGCAGCTCCTGAGGTGCAGTGCTCCCTGCTGTGCCCCGGTGATTTCCCCAAGGATGCCTCGATGTACAAAAGCTGAGTTCTTATTTGAAGTGAGTTATTTGCCTGTGGGCTGGGGATTTGGTGGTTGGATTCTTTCCTTTAGCCTTGGGCTATGGGCACTGCAGTCACATGGATGTGCCTGCGTTTATAGAGATCGCTCTTAAAGCTTGACAAGGAACACTGAACTCTTTAACAGTTTCATTCTTTTGGTTCTTACTGTTTCACACTTTTTGCCTCTCTGCTCAGTTAATCCAGCAGAAGCTGGAGGCTGTTTGGAAGCTTAGAAATATGAAGGTTTCATTTCCATAATAGTTTAAATTAATATTCTATAATAATAAACTTCCATAATAGTTTAAATTTAAATTTACTGAATATCAAGGTCATTCAGTAAAGACTGAGGAAGACTCTTGTTTTTTGTTGGTTCTAGAAATGTTTGTTCCTTACTTTCCTTTTGTCATAACTATGATCCAAAGCTATTTAATTATTGACCTCATGGTATGGAATTGTGATTTACCAACCAGGAGCAGTAGCTGGGTGACACAATGCTGACAGAAGACAAATGTTAGTATTCAGTTTCTAGGCCTGAGCTGAAGGGTTTTTTTCCCCAGTGCTTTGGATTCTCTTGATTTTTCAGTATCTTGGGTTGTGTATTTCCTTGAAGCTAAACTAGTAATGTACTTTGTAGTGTGATACTTTATATTATCATTCACTTGAGAATCATTTTGTAAAAAAAAAAAAAAAAAGTTGGAATGTTGCAGAATTCAGAATTTTTTTGTATGCTTCCTTGATATGCAGTAAAGGCACTGGACTGTTCTGCCACATCTGCATCTACTCCTAAAGAACCAACCTGGATTAGTACTCTACCTGTATGTGAACTGAACTGGCTTATTCCAAGTGCATTCTAAAATTACTATTTTTGTTCCTAAGTTCTTAGTCTTCCCTTTTTTCTCCTCTGTGTTTTGCAATTTTTACATGCACTAAACATTAATTCTGTAAGAATTGTGTTGATGTGCAGACCCCACACAGCCAAGACCAAACCAACAGTCACAGGATCCTCGGGGAGCCCTTCCAGGTCAGGCTGTTCTGTGATTCCATGAGTTATTACTGAGTGGTTGTAAGGAGTATGAAGCCTTTACATAAACCAGGGTCTCTGTCCCCTCTCTTTTTGTGACATGTCTTCCCTTCCAGAAGTGGTTGTATCTCAGTAATGCTGCAGAGATTTTCAGGGTAGAAATTACTCTAGAAACATGAGTATTATTTAACCTCAAACCCAGTGAGGAGCTGGGAAAGCTAAATCTTGCTTTAATGAATGAAGTCCGAAAGCTGACAGCATTCAGTAATCTCACAGGTTTGGGAT